ATATGATGCTTTTTTTAAAGATCATTATTTGGTGTAACAGAATATTGTTGACATGCTTTAATGTTCAAAAACTTGTAACACTCCAAAGAGAAAGAAAAACTTGAAATCGCATCATATGACCCCTTTAAATAAAATAAAAAAAGGCAGAGAGTTTAACCAACTCCAGGACAAGTACCCTAATGTTTAGCCTAATAACTTTGCGCATACCAAACCCGTCTTTTCTAGGCAAGTACCAGATATGGGTATCATGACATAAAATACTTTAATACAACTCAATTTGTATTTAATGTGATCACAACTGAATAAAAGAACAACAACGAGCAACTGAAGGTGAACTATAAAGTCTATTGCGAGATGAAACAATCTGAAAAAACACTCCCGTTATAAACACTGAAGGTGTCTACACTGTGAAAGTAATCTTAGGCTACACTGTATGTATTTCTGCACTTTGTTCTTTATGATCATGAGAGAAATCGTGAGAGTGCAGAATTCAGTCAGCAGGCGTGCACAGTGAAGAAGTCTCCGGCATATCAGCGATGACTCATCTGAACGCCTCTGATTGGCCAGATGAAACGCAGTTTCGCGTACATATAATACACACCTACCCCACACCCCTAAACCTAAAACCGGTGTAATTTTTTTTCTGTGAAAGAAAAGTTAAACGTGTCCAGAATAGTTATCATAGTTTTAGTGACAATAACATAAATTATAAACCAAGTATGAAAAATGTCCAGAGTTTTCATGTTATTAGATTTTTAACAAAAATTGTATTTGTACCAAGGGTGCATTTTGCCCCACAGGTAAGTTAAAATGCCCCCACAGGTGGGGTAAAATGCCCTCAGTCTGGCAAAGCTATTTACTTTATAAATTTACAGCAAAATCAGAGTACAGGCAGTTTTAGCTTAAAATGAAAAAGAATATAATCAATAATTATGAATTACAAAATTAAAAATATTATTAGCTGAGGACTGGTGGGCGGGTGCACTGGACAGAATACATTCTAGTACAATTTAAAGTACTATACAGAATTCATTTTTCCAAGGCCAGGTTATCTGAAATATTTCCTAATATTGAAGACAGATGTGACAGATGTCATGCTTCTTTGTGCAATTTGAGTCATATGTTTTTTACTTGTCCTATGTTGCAAAATTTTTGGGTCAGTTATTTTACAACTATGTCTAAAGTGTTAAAAGTTAGACTTGATGTTTGCCCCGCTATAGCAATCTTTTGGGATACCAAAAATGTGGTCTCAGTTTAATTCAAAACAACTGGATATTTGATCATTTACCTCTTTGTTAGCTAGGCGCCATATTCTGCTCCACTGGAAATCTAATAATCCTCCAACAACCTCCCAATGGCTAGTGGATACCATGTTTGTTTGTTTTTTGAAACTGGAAAATGTAAGATGTTCTGGGAAAAGTCATTTCTTCAATAAATGGCGTGTCCCTTTATAGCTTACTTCAAGTCTCTTATTATTCTACCTCCTGGTTAATATATGATAATGTATATATATATATATATATATATATATATATATATATATATATATATATTGTATTATATATATGTTTTATTTTATATATTTGTATTACAATATATATATATTGTATTAAGTATATGTTGTATTTTATCTATTTGTATTACAATGACTACTATTTTCTATAATTAGTTGTATTCTTTATTTTATGATCGTTTTGTAGTTATTTTATTTATTTACATTTTTTCCCAGTTGTAATTCTTTCTTTTTCTCTCTCTTTTTTTAATTGGTTATGTATTATGTTTGGGTTTGGTCTTAAACTGTTTTAAAAAATTTGTCATCTATTTTCTAAAAGTTTGAACATAAAAATATTATTAGCTTAAATGCTAACTTGCCACCTGATGCTAACTTGAGGTAATTTTTAAATATAAAGTCCAAATATTTTTATTCAGCTAACTACAATACATTTGATGGATAAACAAAGGATTTGAGGTTCAGAACAGAGTAACTACAAGTAATTAAGCCATGCCCCTGGGGGCGTTTTACCCCAAAGACTAGTTTTGAGAGAAAAAAGGTCATTCTGAAAATATAATTAGGCTATATTTTCCTTAAATAACATGTACTCTTTATCTACAGGCCTTACTATTCTCATATCATATATAATTGTGATGTTCTACAAAACAATACGCTTTAAAATACTTTTACCGACAGAAGTTTTTTCTTAAAAATCACTTAAAGTAACGTTAACCGATCAATGACAAACCGCATGTTGCGGTCTCTGAGATCTAGCATTGTTAACCAAAGTCTAGCCTACTACTGACATAGGCCTACCTGAGAACGAGGGGACCGCATTGGGAGGGAGAGACCTTGGCACACAGATCCTGAAGCTCCAGTATCTCCCCAGCTGGAATCTCATAGGAGGACTTTTGTGGAGGTGCAGCCAGCCAGCTGTAATCCACACAAGAGCTGCGCCTGCGGTTCTCCGTCGCCCTCTCCTGGCGGAGGCGCTCAGTGCGCTTCACCAAAGAGCCCAGCTCCAACATCAGCATGTTAGTTACCAGCTCCTCAGGCGAGCGCTGACCAGGAACCTGGGGTTCCTTGGAGAACACTGATGACCAGAGGAACATCTGAAATGGTAAAGAACTTGTAAGTGAAGGAAAAACCAAATATACAGTGATTATTTATGCACCAAAGCCCATTGATTTCAGAAAAAGGCCCACTCTAGTCCCAAAATATGTCATAAATTATAAAAGGCACATAAATGACATATGGTTCAAGATTTATGGCACTTACCTTCTCCTAGATGTGCAAAGGGTTGGTTATATTCCCACTGGACCTTTCCATCAAATTAGTCTGAAATATTTACGTAGGATCGCACGTGTATTTACCACATGGCAGTTAGTTCTGTCCTTCTCAACACCAGATAAAGAGCTAAAGATAATCCCTTATGATTATAATCTACAGCAGAGCCACATTTCAGTGGTTCATCACTGGGAAAGGAAAAAACAATTTAAGTCAAAGTAAACTATCCTTCCAAACATACAAACCAATTGGAACGCAAATTGTGCTGGTCGATGTCCAGCTTAGTCATTCTGATGAAATACTCTGTATTAATAGGATTATTCCTTTTAAGGGTTACACAACATAGAATTAGATCCCAATCCTGTCTCAATAAACACTGCTAAGGCCCCCTGCTGTCTTGTAGGTGGACAAAATGATATGAAATCAGATTAGTAACAGCGAAAATACAAAAGTTCTCATGTTTCAGACATGTCTGAAACCTTATTCATCCCATTTCCCTTGAAGAAACTGAAGTTGTAGAAGAGTATGACATAATGCTAATATTTTTCAGAACTTGACTTTCAAGCAGAAGAAGCTGGAGATCAAAGTTAAAAATTGATTTAATTTCTTGTCTTGTTATGATCCTAATACCAGTGAACTTCTCACTTTTATTCTTTGGCCTCCTGTCTCCTCACTCTTGTTAAAAGCCCAGGGAAATTGCTAGGATTAGATTAATGTGTAATGTAAGAGTTCTTAAGTACTGGTGTTCAGGGAAGAGCTGCCACTCAGCATGTATCTCTCAGTCTATAGGAATCAGAAAAAAAGCCAGCTCAGCTCGATTTTTCCCAATGATTTTGATATTCCTGTCATATCTGAACAAGTCCAGGAATGTGTGTTTTTATTGGATAAAAAATGAAGACCTTCTAAATGATCCATGGTTTAAAAAAAAAAGTTTATTTTTAATGCTTTTTATTTTTTTCTTATTCAAAATGTGCACATAGCAGTGGTTTCGTTTGCTTGACTGCTCAAAGATCATTTTAAAAACCACAATGAAAATACTTTTTTATTATTGAAAAGCTTTTCTTAATGGGACACAAGATTCAGTCCGCATTCCCTTCTTCATTCTCATCTGCTTTTTTTTTCACATCCACTTCCATCTCTGCAAATTCAGTTCCTGCTAAAATACCCTTCCATTAGATTTCAATCAATTTTGACGTTTTAAACCAGTGATTCCTCTCCCATCCGTTCTTCAAACACTCTGTTAGGCATTATCACATTGCTTTCTACAGTTACAGTTGCTAGTATGTCTCTGTCATATTTTATCTTTAAATGTTTCAGTGTGGCCTTTAATGTGAAAATGATATCAAAACACATTAGGAAAAGGAAACTGGTAACTTCAACCCAAGAAGAAAGAACTGTGTTTTTAAGAATGAATCTGTCATGAAATGAGTGACAGATCTTATCTGGAGGGAAGTGATCTCTCTAAAAAAAATTTTTAAACAGATAATTTAACAGGAAAATTATTCGTACAACATTTTCTCTGTCAAAGGATGGAATAAGAAATTATTGAAAATTGGATTTGGATTTAATGCATTATTATTATTATTATTATACACCCAATTCTCCAAACAAATAAATGTCCCTGCTTATTGATAAATGTTTATTGTAACTAATGTGACTTTCAAATATTAGAAATGAGGAATTATCAAGAAACAAACAGACACTCCCACATATAATAAATGATATAAAAATCATATTTATTCAGTTGTTCATTTATTTACAATCCTTTTAAACTTTTTCACATAACCTTATTATTGTCTCCACCAGACTTACAAACAAACATCCCTTCCTTCCTGATCAGTTTTTATATTTATCCCCAGTATGTTGTCGCCATAAATCTCTCATATGCATCTGCTCAGGGCGCGGCTCTGATTTGTCCCGGCTTGCCTTTGAGCAATACAAATCCTCCACTGCTTGTGGAGCCCAGCCAAGAATTTGAGAAGGTGATCCAGAACCTCTCTCACAAATTACACTGAGGGATCAAAGTGGGTATAAAAGTCTATTTAGAGAGTGCAAAATGAATCAAAGTCACGGTGTAGATGTGTCAGATGGCATATGAGGTCTATATCTGTGTACTTTGTTTGAAAAACCGAAGTCAGACTTGATAGAGCAGCAGAGTGATTGGTACTGAGGTGTACGTTTGCTGTTACCAACACTATTCAAGTGTGTTGGGCAGAAATCATTCTCCCTGAGAGAGAAATAGACAGAGAGGCCTTAAAGGGGTCATATGATGCGATTTCAAGTTTTTCTTTCTCTTTGGAGTGTTACAAGCTGTTCGTGAATAGATAAGATCCCTAAAGTTGCAAAGACTAAAGTCTCAAACTTTAAAAGAGATATTCTTTATAAAAGTTAAGACTGGTCCACGTTCAAACACGCCCCCACATGTCTACATCACGATGTGGGAAGATTTGCATAACGCCGGCCAAATGTTCACGCAAAGAAAGAAGGCGTAACTTTATTGTTGCTGCCACCACCGCCGCCATGTTGTGAAGACGCTGTGTGTTTCGTTGTGAAAGCGAAACTACTTTGTTTGGCCTTCCAAAAGAGGACACGACTAGAAATCAGTGGTTAGGTTGTATTTACAACACTGTTCCAGAACAGTTCAACCCAAATATTCAGATGTGTCGAGTGCATTTTATGGAGGACTGTTTTCTGATCCTGGTAGAGTAGATTGACTCACAGACTGTAAGTACGTTTTCATATTTAAAGAATTTGCCACTGATGATTCAAACGTGAGTTTTGAGCAGTGTAGAGTAGCACTTGTTGTTCGTCATTTCTCCGATCACAAATGCAGACATGGTTTTATGTTTACGCGGCGCGATGCAACGCAACGCGTAAAAAGACAGTAAGTCATTATAATCCATAATTATGTCCCCACTGGATGCAACAAATGCCTCGTTTATAATGGGTTTTAATGTTTTTGTCTCGTCGCTTCGGCCAGACACGGCATCAACAGTATGGTGAGGGGCATAACATTTCCGTCACACGCTTGGAGGTATTTGGCCAATCACAACGCACTGGATAGCTGGCCAATCAGAGCACACCTCGCTTTTCAGACCGATGAGCTTTTTTGTTTATTTAAATTTTCATTTAGATTAATTTGATGTACTAAAACTAAGCATGAAAATAACTATATAAACATATTTAAAAATAAAAATAAAAACTACTAAAACTTACTCAAATTAAAATGAAAACAGCCACAAAAAATGTACTATATAAATATATAAAATAAAAAACTATTAATTGTAATGAAGTCAAAATAATTCAAAATAAAAACTATAACAGCATCTCTATGATAAAACAGCAAACTGACACGGCATCAACAGTATGGTGAGGGGCATAACATTTCCGTCACACGCTTGGAGGTATTTGGCCAATCACAACGCACTGGATAGCTGGCCAATCAGAGCACACCTCGCTTTTCAGACCGATGAGCTTTGTAAAATTCGACGCGTTTCAGAAAGGCGGGGCATAGAGGAGAAAAAATTATTTACATTATATGGAAAATAATGTGTTTTTTTAACCTTAAATCACATAAACACATTTCATTACACCAAATAGACCAAATAATGTTCTTTTTAGCAGCATCATATGACCGCTTTAATGGTCTTTCCTGAAGCATGTCTGTTGTAAGTCTTGTTAAAATGTGTAAAAGCTAAGTGTATTTCATCCCATCCTATTTAATTTTTTCCCCAAATGACTTTTGTTGTCTGTAAATGCAAGGGTGTTTCTCAGTAGGAAATGCTCCAGCATGGATGGACTTTTGGTACTTTCCATTACTTGGGTAAAATGGGCTTTTTTTAATGGTTAGTTAAAGGAACTGCTTGTTGATTTTCAGTTCAGAAGGACAAACAATTTTTATGTATACATAAAATAATTGTATTTTTTTAGGCCTTTTTTATGGATGCACCTGCTCTTGTCCTATGCCCTGAGCATGATCATGAGCTCAGATGCAGGGTTAATATAGTTAACTAAAACTAAAACAATAATAAAAAAAAAATCATCACTCAAAATAAAATAAACTTTAACTTAAATTAAAAAAAATGTTTATTTAAATTTTCATTTAGATTAATTTGATGTACTAAAACTAAGCATGAAAATAACTATATAAACATATTTAAAAATAAAAATAAAAACTACTAAAACTTACTAAAATTAAAATGAAAACAACCACAAAAAATGTACTATATAAATATATAAAATAAAAAACTATTAATTGTAATGGTCAAAATAATTCAAAATAAAAACTATAACAGCATCTCAATGATAAAACAGCAAACTGCTCAGATGTAGGTCAAAGTAGATTATATATGCTGTTATTTGTTGATTTGTTTTGTTTGTTCACAATTATTGCATCCTTATAAGCAAAATATAAGGCCATGTCTAAAAGTTTATGTCAAAACTATTCTTGAGATGTACCAAAAGTATTTGTGGTATGTACCTTGAGATTTTATGTATTTTGAACTGCAATAATATATAGTGTATATATATATCGCACCATCAATTTCATCAGCTATTTCCATCATTTAAAAACATCAAGAGGACTTATGAGTAAAGAAATATGAGTAAAGAGCAAAGGTAATCATGCATGGTGTTTTGGATGTAACATCACACACTGAAGTCGAAAACATCACACACGTGAAGTCGTGGCCTAATGGTTAGAGAGTTGGACTTGTAATCTGAAGGTTGCGGGTTCGAGTCTTGTTCCGGCAGGGATTGTAGGTGGGGGAAGTGAATGTACAGTGCTCTCTCCCACCTTCAATACCACGACTGAGGTGCCCTTGAGCAAGGCACTGAACCCCCAACTTCTCCCTGGGTGCTGCAGAATAAATGGCTGCCCACTGCTCTGTGTGTGTGTGTGTGTGTGCACTTAGGATGGGATAAATGCAGAGCACTAATTCTGAGTATGGGTCACTTCACTTTCACTTTCATGTTAGTGGACATCGGCATCAGATTAATACAACAACCATTTTCATCTGTTTTTGTTTTTTGTCCAAAGACAGGAACTGACAATAAAACATCTCAGGTAATCCTGTAAACTGTCATTCACTTGAGTGAAAATATCTCTGTCAACAAATAGACAGTTAACCATATGCAGCCATTTAATTTCATTTGTGCCTGTTGAATGAGCTCCAAATGAGTGCTAATGTTACACTTCGCTCATTGCGCTATTTCAGTGCCCACAGGGGGATAATCTTTCCCATACTTGTTAACACAGTTTCTGGCTGCTGGTGTGACCC